CGTTCGTTCATCACGTGACAGCCCCATAAGCCCAAACCCGAAGACTTGTCAGATAAGAGGTGAGGTGAGCTAATCATAGACTGAAGACCCAGATAAACAATGAATTCATCTTTTCTGTTTCTCATAGCAGTTTTGTATTGTTTGTAGTGTGATCAGCGTTTGCGTAAGTAGCAGACGTATTAGGGAAGTAACACGTAACATTTTAATTATAGTTTGCTAAAATGAACAAAATGACTCGAAAAAAGATTCGTTCATTTTGCTGAACGAGACTCAAAGGTCCGAGTCGGTAAAATGATCCAAAGTTCCCATCACTGGTTCACTGCGCAGACTCTTTAGGTGCATTCGACTTGAAGCACAGCTACAGACGGCGATCAACGAGAGTGGCGGAGGGTGTAGGGCGGAGTTGAAAAACGGAGCCGTCAAGCCGAACATTTCTGCTCCCGTTAGTGACGCTCACGCGGTGTTTGCATACTCGATCACAGATGAAGTGAATTAAATGCAATATTTGTCAAATACACAGACGTTTCAGAAACGTTTTCATGAGCAACAGAAACACTTTTTATATACTGCTTAATACAGCGCCATCTGTTCACGAATAAAGTTCAACGTAAATATATACTATTTAAATACTAATAAAGTGGGGGTATATATGCTTTCATGATAAACGTGACTCAATGTAACATTGCGACTACAGTAAAAAAGCTTTTAAAATGAACGAATCTTTTTTCGAGTCATTTCGTTCATTTTAGCAAAATATAATTAAAATGTTACGTGTTACTTCCCTAACACATCTACTACTTACGCAAACGTTGATCACACTACAAACTATGATTAGCTCACCTCACCTCTTATCTGACAAGTCTTCGGGTTTGGGCTTATGGGGCTGTCACGTGATGAATGAACGACTCAAACCCGAAGACTCGAGAGATGAACTAATCAATTCTCTTTCCGGCTCAGACTGCATTGGTTAAGCTTATGGGGCTGAACCTATAGGATGTTGCGCATGCGCGACTGAACGAATCACTCCCCGAGATGAGCCGTTCTTCCCGAGTCACATTAAAGATTCGTTCAAAATGAACGAATCGTTCAAGAACGACCCAACACTAGTTGGCATGATTGAGAGCAAACGTGAGAGGTCACGGGCCTACGGCAGGGTGTGGCCAAGTAAAAAAATAAAACATCTCCAAAAAAATCGCTAGTTTTATTTAAATATAGCTAAAATAGCTCCTTGTCGCAAAAAATAAAAAAAGGAGCAGCTACAATGAGAAAGTAACTAAATTTGGCGACAAAATCCCCAAATTGGCAACACTGCCTGTATCTCTGCTGTAGTCTGTAACTCAGCACTGCCTCTGTCTGTCACACCTGGTAATGGCGGTTAAGAACCAGGAAAACTGTTACAAAGTATCGCTGACTGTAACAAACGAGATCGCAAATCGAACGTTTCGACGAAACAAAGCGAGTAAAGAATGATACAGTGTAAAGTGTAGCGAATGTGTCATTGTAGCAGCTGTATGGCAGGGTCTCACAGTCTGTCAGGTTTTATACTGGAAAAAAACCCATCTTAAACCGGTCTAAACTGGTTTTGCAGGTCTTAAACGGTTTAGGGTCTCTCAGCCTGACAAACTGAAAGTTCTCCTTCTAAGGCCAACCTGACTACTGACTAAACTGGGAGCTATGTTCTGTTATTATACCGATTATTTTAGCACACAGGAAATTTAATTATGATGTCTGGCTAAAACGACAACTTTCTCACTTTTACTAGCTACAATTATTATTTTTGAGTTATTATACAACACCTTTTAATCCAGTGGTACAGCCAGACCATAAAGGGACTGAATTCACCACCGACTAGATGAGTTTCACCACATAAATGAATAATATAAAAGAAACCAACAGTGGCTTCAACAAGAAAGCCTGGTTGACCTAGAAACAGTCCATATTCATAACCTTTTTTTGGTCTGATCTCATCAGACTTTAATATTTCATCAGATCATCATATATGTCAACAAGCGACTTCTTTAAAAATTGCAGTTCTCCTATTTTATACTTAAGAACTCAAATGACTTTCACTTCTCATAAAACGTCTATTAAAAGCTTTTAAATTCATGTGAACTGACGTGACTTTTGTTAAACCATTAAGCAATTGTGGGAAACCATGAAATATGCACCATGCTTGCAAATACAGTACATTTACATATTTTTCTATTTTAATTTCATATATTTCTTTTCTTGTATTAATCTAAGGAGGCCTGATTTTACAGTAGTGTTACACTCTAAAAAATGCTGGGTTGTTTCGACCCAACTTTGGGTCAAATATGGACTAACCCAACCGTTGGGTTAAATTTTTACATTCAATTTTTAACCCAATGGTTGGGTTAGTCCATATTTGACCCAAAGTTGGGTCGAAACAACCCAGCATTTTTTAGAGTGTAACACTACTGTAAAATCAGGCCTCCTTAGATTAATACAAGAAAAGAAATATATGAAATTAAAATAGAAAAATATGAATGCATAAAGATCTGAGATGCCATTCTGTGTTTGTCTTTGGCCAACTATGCCAGAGTTCAACTGAGCCATGTGCCAGTAAACCGTGCAAATTTGCTCTCTCTTTATTAATAGCTCCAAAATCATTGCTAGATTCTGAGTTTGGTCAGAGTAGAGGAACAGTTCACCCAAAAATGAAAACTGTTGCTTCTGCCTAAAATATGCGTCCGTAATATTTTCGCCAGAAGCAACAGTTTAAAATTAAAAAGTCTTGATGCATTTGTTTCTTATAAACACACCGCTTTTCGCTTCACAAGATGTTAACTGATGGACTGGAGTCGTGTGCATTACTTCTCGATTATTGTGATGTTTTTATCATCTGTTTGGACTCTTATTCTGACGGCACCCATTCACTGCAGAGGATACAGTTGGTGAGCAAGTGATGTACATTTCTCCAAATCTGCTCCCATGAAGAAGCAATCTCATCTACATCTAGGATGGCCTAAGATTAAGTTATTTTTCAGCAAATGTTCATTTTTTTGTGTAAACCATTCCTTTAAGGCCACTGTCTTGATAGAGCAGCATGAAAGATTATGGAACAACTGTAAATTCCCAGTGTGGATTAAGAAGTCAGCCAGTTCATCGTGTTATCAGTAGCAATGGACAATAAATGAATGAAATCAATTGACAGTAATTCTAATACCTTTAGTCCTAATGACTCATGCCTTTGGAAACACGCATCCACACAAATGGTTTCAGTATACAATCAGCACAGACATCACTTAGCAACATACCAAAATTTTTCAATCCAGTAGTAAATACATATCTGGAAAACTGATCTTTAGATAAAGGAATATGCTCTTGCAGCATTTAAAACAGCTGTATAGAATCAAATTAGGTACTCGTATTTAATATGATACTATTCAGTACGTTTCTGTATAGTGTGTTGTTTAAAATCGAACATGCATGTGTGTAGTTCAGCAGGTTGTCTAGCTGGTTTCCAGCATTAAACAAAAAGACAATCGGGATATTTGTGTGAGTTATCAGCGTCGCAGAGGTCAAAGTAATAGATTCTTTTACAATGACTTAGTATCTTATCAAAGCATCATGTCCTGGCTGAAAAACTATATGAGCTCAGTTTTATTTTCTGATATCTTGCTCACTTACATCATCACCAGATCCATTAATTGTCTATGGAAGGAGAATAATATACTTTTGAAAATTATATTTTTTCTTTTATTTAAAGGCCCAAGATGGCAAATAATACATATAAATAGATAACATAAAATAATGTATGGTTACATTTTTTTTTTGAAGCCTGAACATATATAGACGTATTATTATAGAAGTATTTTAATGCCTCGAAATACATAAATGCATTATATCTTTATATGCTGTAATAAATAATTGTAAACTCGGTTATTATACATTATCATATTCACCTATTATACTTTTAATGCATTGCAATGCATTAAAACAAACGGCAAATCTACCGTTTATAAAAATAATAAAATAACAACATAATAATAAACTATTAATAACGTACACTATGTTTTTAATTGACTGATATTTTTACACATTCAGTTTTACTCCTCAAATCTCATGGTTTTGAAACATTTCACATTTTTTGTAATCGATTTGGTCAAAAATACAATTATTATCTTAATATCTTCTATGAAAATATCCCGTTCATAATGTTTTTATTGTTGTAGTCTAATAATTATTTAGTTATGTGTCAAAAACAGAAATAAAACCAGCATATTAGTACGCATAAAAAATGCAATCATTAAAATAATCGGTATCGGTCATTAAAATGATCATTAATTAATCTCTACAAGGGTATTATGATGAATCGTTACGAATGTACTGAGACTATATTCATCTGTCAAGTATGCTAGCATACATTTTAGCACGGCTATATGACGTCAATGCCCACTCATTTTCAATAACAAGACAATAATAATTAGAAGACTGCAGGACACCACCGGCCCTCCAGGACCCAGTTTGAGCACCCCCTGCAATAGACTCACTAATGAGACGTTTAATGAGCACACCTGATGTAGCCTGTCCCGAGTGTGGAACAGCATAACAACAAAAGCAAATCACTGATTGTAATAAGTTTGATCGTATTATAAAATACTGAAAAAAGCATCAAAAAACGCCTTCACATTACTGTAAAAATTATTTTTCATAGTTTTACAAGAAAACAAGATTTCAGTCTTTACTGCAATAATTCATTACACGTTTGATTCAATGTTACTTGCCGTTTCTTTGTTGTTATTATTAGTGAAATGTACTCATTTGTGGGTGAAAATAGTCCATTCCTGAAATATTTTCATCATTTTAAAGAAAAAATTAAATAAGAAAGCACAACACTGTATCTTACATTTAACTGGGAAAAAAAACAAGTAAACTCAGAAAACGGCAAGTAAATTTCACAGATAATGACAAAGAAACGGCAAGCAATACATTAAATGTGATTTTTTTTTTAAAAAGACAAAATATTTTCTTGTAAAACGTACTTTAATAATCTTTGTTTTATTTACTTCTTCGAAAATCAGTCACAATACAATGTATTGTGACAGTTTTGACGGTGGTTACACTCTTGTTTTGTTTGGTGAAAATATGTTTTAATAAAATCTGGCCAAATATGATACATCTTTATATGCTTTAAAAAACAGCCATTTGTGCGGTCTAAAAATGCTGGTTTTATTAAAAGATTTTGAGGCCCTCTATAGGTCGAATTAAATACATCTCAGTCTGTGACTCACAATATGCTGTATTAATAATGTCTTTGGTTATAAAACTTTTATAGATCTGTACCTGTTATTACGAAATAATTCTGAGGAATTATGAATTACCCAAGATGGAGAAGAACATGAACATGATCTGTAATGAGTAAATGCACATAAATGAACACATTTGAAACTCAAAAAAGGCAATACATTATAATTTATATGCTTTCATTTGTTCATCTTCAGTTATGAAGGCACTTCCATATGACCCCAAATTGAATTTTTGAACATTGAAATCTCGTATAACATTTCTAATGAAACTATTTCAGTATCTCCTCAGGATCTGCAAGTACAGTTTCTGAACGCTGTCATCTTTTCTTCTTTTGCGAATTCTGTAGCACTTTCACACCAATCCTCAGGAACATCAACAAACTGCAAGAGAGAGAAAGAACAAAACATAATTCAACAACAAAAAGAATGCATCTGTCCATGTTAATGTCATAGATAACATAAATATTTAATTTTTGCCTGTGTGTGAACATTATGGACATCTGGGAAGTCTTATGGAACAAAAAAATTGGAATAAATAAAAATTAATATATAATATATAAATAACCAATTGCTAAAATCAAATATTCCTGCCTCGCCCCTGCCATGAGTCCAGCTGGCATAATCTTCCAAGAACTCAAAAATCTCACTCCCATTAGAGTGGTCAGTGATCCAGAGGTGCCTACAAATATAAAAACAAATCCCATTAATGCCATATATGAGCTTTATTCATTTTAATAAAAAAATAAAATTATATATATATAAACTTTTAGAAACAGAAACTTACAGTGACTTACCCAGTGAAACCCAGATATCTTTGTCATTCTTTGACATCTGATAAGCACCAACGAATGCTGCAATGCCAAACATCAGCCCAGCAACCAGAGAGAGAACACTACCTGCAGCAGGAAGAGGGGACATGAGACATCTGACCATATTAGGAAGTTCCGGTAACATTGAGATAAAGGTGCGTTAACAAAAAGTATCAGCATACGCTGTAACTAAGTGCATTACAGTTTCAAAGTGAGTTCTGTCGGCTGTTGACAAAAACTAAAAACATTTCAGTTTTACGCTCGACTACATCTACACGATATTTCATTGTGAAATATTTTAAACGTGTTTTACATATACTAGCTACCAGTGTTGGGGAAAGTTACCTTTAAAAGTACTGTATTACAATATTGCGTTACTCCATAAAAAAGTAACTAATTACGTTACTTAGTTACTTTTTATGGAAAGTAATGCGTTACGTTACTTTTGCATTACTTTTTAATTCTGGACAGGGCTTGCTTGTTTGATTTTAAAATAAAAAAGTTCTATTTTTGGCAAATATAAAAGCCTTTTCACACCAAAAGTGAAATGAATAAGCCTCAGGCTGAAGGGAAAGTACATTTACGTCCGTACAGTAGAATGCAGAAGAAGACATTTCAACACACTTCAGCAATAAACAAAGACACAAATGTTCGTCTAGA